GGTCATTGATCATCAGCAAAAAGAGCCATGGGCCGAGTTTAGTTCCTTGAGGGACTCCAGCATTGACAGGTTTCCAATTGGAAAAACAGTTCGGGGAACGTTTTACCCTTGGTAGTCTTCCCCTCAAAAAGTCTGAAATCCAGTTTAAGGTTGATGTTTTTGGACCTATTCCCTGAAGTTTTCTATAAAGAGTATTATGATCTATAAGATCAAAAGCTTTCCGATAGTCCGTGACCAGTGAGCGCGCACATCCTTCCTCTGTGTCTACTGTCTTTGACCAACGGTGGATTAAAGTAATTAAAGCCAGGGTGGTATTAGAACCTGGTATGAAGCCATATTGGTTACAATCCAGGCGATCCATTATTGCCGGTTTTAGATCGTATTTTATTACGGCATCTTCAGCGATTTTACTGAGTGTTGAGTTAAGAGATATAGGTCTAAGATCTTTATTAACTTCTATCACCTGTTTAACTTTTGGGATTGGGAAGATGTTAGCCATTTTCCAGCAGACAGGCACTCGATTTTCGTTAAATGATGTGTTTATAATGATTGAGATTGGCATTGCTAGAATAACTGCAAACTTCTTTAAGACCCAGTTGGGCAGGCAATCTGGGCCACTGGATTTTCCCAGCTTAACACCATTTAACGATTTAAAAACTTCTTCTTCAGTCAAACAAATTATACTATTATTATCGGTCATGGTAGTGGTACTATCAGATAGTGGCTGGTAGTCGCACATAGGTTCCAAGAAACAGTCATTTATGAAGTTACTAAGTGAATCAAGGTCTTGTGTATCTTGTTGCAGATTTGCAAAGATATTACTCGTCGACTTTTGTTGATGACCACAGAGACGTTTCACCTCCTTCCACCAGTCTTTAGGTTTAGTGTGTTTGAGTTCTTTCACCTTAGCTTCATAATATAATTTACGGCAGTTTTTCCCAGATCGATTTACTTTATTCCTTAACTGTTTATAAAAAGCATGTTTGTTCCGCGCAAGAGCCTTTTGTCTTTTTTTAATCAAACGTGTCAGGTTGCTGTTCATCAAAGGTTGATCATTTTGATGAATCTTCACAGTCTTCAGTGGCATTAGGGTATTAAGTCCATACTTTATAAGGTCAGTAAAGTTATTCAGGTTTTGATCACAAGACTGGTTTGGATTAACCACTATGTCCCATGGCACTTCGCATAAAAATCTTCCTAGGCGACGGATGCTGCTAGGCCTCTTGCCCGCACGTTAATAGTAGTTTCTTTAGACTGGTTACCACGAATTTTTTCTTTAGAAAAGGCAACAACAGTAAGGTGGTCTGATAAACCAAGTGGAAGAGTACTTAGAGGCTCTTCGTAGAAGTTGGACAAATTTGTCAAAATTAAGTCTAATTTACTTGTTCCTCTAGTATTAAAATTTACAATCTGCCTGAGTTGAAATTGATGGCTGAAATGTCTTATAGGTAGTTTATTAAAATCTCCTGCCAGGATTAATTTAAAATTAAGCCGCAGTTAGGATATCTGGTTTCCAATAACTCTAATGATGACTGTAAGTATTCTAGCATATCTGACTTATTTGCTCGTGGGTGGGTGGTATAAAACTGCTGCGACGAGTGTTGAAAAGCCTCTTGGTAACCTACATGGGTTGATTTTGCCCACAGCACTTCACATTCATTTTCATTTGGTATATCGGGGATAACATTCGCTACATAAGAAGCTTTTATATATATACATACCCCGCCATGTTCCTTTTCCTATTCTGTCTCGTCGAAAGATTCTATAGCCATTGATTTCAATTACTTCATCGGGTACGGAACTTTTCAGCCACGTTTCACTAATAAAAACTAGATCTGCATTGTTTTGCTTTGTACCGCAACGGTGATTGCTTTTTACAAAAGTGGTCAAACAAAAAATGACATTCTGAACTTATTTACCTTTATTTTTCTACTCATGAAATGATCGTTTCTAAGCAATCAGTAACGATACATATTTGGTACACCCATGGCCATCCCTCTTTCCGGTTTTCTTGCTTAGGTACCATTCATTTTTTATGACTGGGGTGGGCTGGAAAAATTCAATTAACAATAAAACAAAATGTCCTGCCCCCCCCCCCTGCATCACAAAAAATTCAATGACCCTCCTCACATGAAATCTCACCACCACCACTACCGATGTATACATAGACACTTTACCAGGTATCAGATCTACATTTACTTGTGCTTTCAACAATATGCCTATTTAATCCGAACAAACTCTGCTGATACAAACTTTAAAATGGCCAGAAGAATTTTGATAAAAAATTAGAATCCACTGTCAGTGTATTTTCTAGTCTACAAAGTTATTTTTCTGCTATTGCACCATGCAATCAATGTTATGCCCAATCCTCTGGAGGGCGGGGCAAGCAAGGCTTGTCATACGAAACAAGTTTGTAGTGAGTAAAATCTTATGAAGTAAACCAGCTTTATTTTTATGTTTTTAATTAGGTTTTGTTGTTTACAAAAACATTTGGCAGAATGCTCAGTTGGAAATATCACCAATTCGAACCGATTTAACATCGTAGCTCAGTTGATAGGGCATTTTTCTAGTATTCCAAAGCTAGCGGGTTCAATTCCCACATTGGTCAGACAAACTTTTCAGAGTAACATTACAAACATCACAGTACAAACATCAACTGAGCACATAACACCAACACGCACAAATTATTTAATATATTCTTTGCGGCGAATTCCGAAAAGTTAGAAGATATTCAGGTTTTTCTCCAAATGAAATTCAGAATGTTTGACAAAGGGTAATCGACTAAATATATGATTGTTTTGGTTTGTGTAATGTCTTGACAGCATTTTACACCCCACTCCCACCCACCCCCTTCAAAATGTTATTTGCAGGGACGCCGGAACGATGTGAAGGCAAGGGGGCAGATTTTCGTGAAAAGGCACTTTTGAATTGATGTTTACTAGGAGATGTTTGCAAGACATCGGGAGTTGAACTTCGCCTAATCATGTTTTCTATTTATTGGATAATAGAGGTGTGAGGGGATTCTCCGCCAGGCGATTGTGCTATTCTTGAAACTCGATGACTGCATTTATTGCGTTTATCTGAAGCAAATTCGTAAAGGAATTGCACTAACATTTCTGACATTTCTCTATTTCGCTGAGGCAATCCTTTAAATTGAAAGGGCACCTTTTCTCCCCTTGCCCCTCCTGGTAAAGGGCAACGGGAGCGGCTGCCCCTCCTGCCCCCCAGTTCCGGCGTCCCTGGTTATTTGGTGAGTACTTAAAAGACGATTTTCGTTTCAAAGTGGGTGAATACTCGCTGAGATATTTGCATTAGAAACAACTGAGTCGTAAAATGTCACTGTTGTCACTTGTCGACCAGGCTATGTACACAACATCTGCAATTCGCTGTAAATTTGTTACCCTTCTCTTTCCATTGCCATCTTTTTCATGGGCGAAACTAGCCCCTTTTAATTAGGGGATGTCAGGCAGAATTGCCCTGCCAAAAACAATGATGCTGCAGCATGCAGCGCCAGCGCTAAGCTATGTGTACAATTGAACTGCCGATGCCAATATATACATGCAAACGAACTTTTTATGGTTAGTTGGCAGTAATAAGTTACTTAATAACTCTATTTTCTTGTTATACGTGTGCCATCGTGTTCTGCCATTGTGTTCTGCTTCTAAAATGTGTCAATAAAATATTAAAATCTTAATCTCGTTTCATTAATTAGACACTGTAGCAAGGTATTGAATATATTGAAAAGTTATTGATTTTAATTATCGAAGTTAAAAATCGTTAGAATTTGCATGAGAATATTATCAATATATAACTTGTATGCGCGAGATCTAGATCATGCATGCATAAAAATCAAAAGTTCGCATTGCTTTCAGTTTTTTCGCATGCAATAATTTAAAGCTTATTGAGAAAATTCTTTAACCACAGCAGTTTGCCCACTTCCGTATTTTAGGTTTCGTTTTGTACCTTTGAATGTTTTGTAAGACTTTCAGACAATTTTTGTTTAAAACCCGGCTGTCGTCGCAGCTTCGTACGTAGCGCAATGAACATTCCGTTGGCAATACGAGAAAATCCTGACTCATCATGCAGCAGCGAATCAAATTGCGCAATTCACCAAAACAAATACTTGCCATACAATATAATGTGTTTGCTATACACGAGTAGACAAAAGTGGCTGAAAACGTAACTTTACTATAATCTATGAACAGAATAAATGAATATATATCTTTATATGCGCCAGCACTAGATCATGCGTGCATGAAAATCTAAACTTCGCATTGCTTTCAGTTTTTTTCGCATGTATGCAGTAATTTCATGTTTAAAGATCTTTTAAAGCGGAAATAAAATATACTTTCTGAAATACTATAGCCTAATAATATGGTGTATTCTCATTTAAAATTGCTCTTTATATGCCTGTCCATGATTAGCATGTGAATAAATAATTTACAGGCAATAGGCGAAGGCGATATTCATTCACCTGTCGTTAATGAGAATTGTTTGTATTCTCGCGCCAACTGAGCACTTTGTGGTGTTCAGTTTTCTTATAGATTTTTGTAAAACGTGATATGAGTGCTGAAATTTTTGTTGAATTCTATTCTCTTTGAATCATCTTGCGTAAAACCAAAGAAAATGCGTTCCAAAATGACTGTTATGTTCCAGCGGATCATCGATTGTTTAGAATAAAAGAGTGGTTGCCTTACTGCATGGCGAAATAGTGCCACAGATTCTGAAGGAAGCTAAGTCCCGAAATTTGGTAAGCTTTTCTATAATTGCTATTGAACCAGTCTAAATTTCTTCAATCATTCTTAAAAAAATACTTGATATCTTTGCTTCGATCTCGTGGCTTCAAACAGGACATGCATGTGAGAGCAATAAAGAAGTGCGTAATGTTTTGGCAACACGAATGTCACGCCAACATTTTTCAGCCGATAAAAACTGTTGAAACAGTTGTTGCTTTTCCAACGAAAATGAAACTGCATATATTCCGCAACTCTTGATTAGAAATGAGAAATCTGTCGGTACTTTTAAATTAACGGCTACTTTATTATATTCATGCGCGCATAGATAGCACTCAGTCTGGTGTTACTGTATGTCAAAAAAGTCTCTTCCTTAAAATGAAATTTTCTATTTCCATTTGTGCTCTATTAATACGGCCTGTTTCGAATTAAGCCATTTTATTCCTCTGAGCAACATGCATGCAGAAGATTAAAAGGGCAATTCGATTTTGAGGGATATTCCAGTGACTTGGTCTTCTAAGTTAATTTTTCAGGAAGAACCTTGGTAAATAGTGAAATGTTTCATCTTTTTATAAATTAAGCTAACTTCGACTCAAACCAAGGATATATTTTTACCTCCGACAGCTGCAGTGTTAAGAATACATATAGCTACATGCATGTAATCTAAATTTCAACTTTTTCGTTGGCACTTTGGCTTTGTCGGGCCTCAGGTTTAAAAATTATCTTATAGCGCTGTGAGTATTACATGTATTTACATTGACCAGATATCCATTGTGATGATGAATACATCTTAAAAATTGCCTTTTTATTAATGGCGTTGTTGCAAGGAAATTGAATAACTAAAACTACCTAATTTCCTTAATCATTTGATTAAAATGTTAATTGCATTCACTCATTGCTCGTGCCGAACAGAAAATTACCCCATACATAAAAAAGTGATACTTCCCGTGCAGACAGAACGAGTGATGTCAGTAATTTATTTTCATGAGCGACTAATACGATTTACTGTATATTTATTTCATTTCAACGCATGAGTATTATAAGTTGAACAGGGTACAGTATCTGCAAAAAGTACTTTTCACTAGCGTGGTTCCTTCGGATACACGACAGTTTGGTCATTGTTGCACATTATATCTCGACAAAAGTCACAATTATAGCCAACTTGCTCCCTTTTACTTAGGAAATTGTTTCAAAACATTGCACATATCCTGACATCGGCTCCGCATCTGGAATATCATTTTTTTTAAGTTATAACCAAGGCCAAATTTTAATATTGATTTTTGACGTTTTGTTAAATTTTCGAAAAAAGTATATAATTTTCTAAGAATAAAGTAAAAATATCATTATTAATAGC